GTGCTTGGGAGACATGACCTCCTAAACCATGCTACTCTGTTACCTGATCAAATAGATGGCTGGGACTGTATGATGGCAACAGAGTTAGACATTAGGCCCCGATTGGATTTATCTGTCATTCCATTTCAAAATTCAGATTTGATCATGTTTCCTGCTGGGTCACGCTCAGGGACAAAACGGCCAAGACAAGACTTCCTGCACTGTGGTGGCTGCTCATCAAACCTCGGAAGCTTAGGTTTTGCCTGAAATTAAATCAGCACGAGTGGAGTTAACTGCTAGCAGTTACTAGGACCATGATTCTCAGTTGAGGACTTAGAGCAAATCTACATACTGATAGTAAATATCTGTTCAGGGTCTGTCGAGCAACAGGGCAAACTTGGAAAAATAGGAGACTCTTGACTAAGATGGGAACTAAAATATCTCATGGAAAATTAAGAGCTGAGCTGTCAGAGGCTTTGCAGCTCATGTATCAGCAATCAGTTATAGACTCACGTCGGGCAAAATGTCAGCTTCTAAAGGAGATGATTTTGCTGACAGAGCTGCTGGAGCCCCTGTTAAAACGTGGACCCCAACCTTAGATGTTCCATTTTTAATGCAAGTAATTTCTGCTCATTTTCAAAAACATGCTTCACGAAAGGAAATGGACAAATGTGTTGAGAAAGGGGCCAAAAGTAATTCGATTGGACTCTGGGAATCCACTAACAAAATCATCCCTGTACCATACTTCCCATCTGCTTGGTTAGTAATGTGCCATCAACAAAATCATCTGAGTCAATCATCTGAGAGGGATTTTAAAGGCACTAGACTCTTACCATGACTACCAGACAGCTGACATTATCCGAAATGTATCCGAGATGCACCGTGCTATCTGTCAGGAGAATTCTTTCCGGGCCACTGCCAAGGCAGGCTTAGGAGGCACCTGGGGGCAGCTCAATTCCATAGAATCGACACCTGTGGAAGGTAAGAGATTTTTGTGTCGTTATGGTTTGCGGGATGTGTAGGTGACCTGACATCCATTGCCACTCAGGAGTCATGCAAATCATGCTGGGATACTTCCTGTCCTCTCAGCCCTTTGGACAAGTAGAATGGATGAATCCAACTCTGAAAGCTTCATTCAGGAGTCTACCAAGTGAAAATGGCCTAGGGCTTTACCACCAGCCTTGTTAAAAATGAGAGTGACCCGTGTCTCTCGCTTTGAACTTAAGAACTTATGTTTGACAGGCCTATGAATTTGGTCTGAGACCATATTCTGTGCCCAGTTTAGCTGAATCCTCTCATAAACATGTTCAATACTTAAAAGGGCTTCTCTCCCTAGAAACTGTGAGACATAACATCATAAGGAGCTGGAAGGACCGATTGGAAGAGGTCTACCACCCCTCTCTGCTGGGGGATTTCATGTACATAAAGGTGTTCCAGTGGACAGATGCCTGTCACCACACTGGGAGGGACACTTTCAAGTGTTCTGATACAGCTATCAAAGTGAAAGAAAAATCCAGTTGGATTCATGCTTCTAATGTGAAGTCTGCATCTCAGAAGGAAGGGAATGAGGTTCCCACAAGGACTTGAAACAAGTTTTTGAGAATCACTGATATTGGTACTGAGCTCAATAAAAAAGAGCTTTTTTTTTTCTTTCTTTCTTTCTTTTTTTTTTTTTAGAAAAGAGCTTTTCTAGTGAAATTATTATCATAAACAGCCTTGCTGGCTTATTCACAGTAGTGATTATCTCAATTACTTTAAGACTCACAATTTATTAGAAACAAACATGTTATTTGGAACTTTGCTACTTCCTTTGAAATGGTTCCCACAATTACATTTTTCTGGGTTTTTTTTTAAAGATTATATTTATTTATTTGAGAGATAGAGAGTGCGTGAGAGAGAGAGAGCACAAGGTGGGTGAGGGGCAGAGAGAGAAGAGGACTCCCCACTGAGCAGGGAGCCCGATGCGGGGCTCAATCCTGGGACTCTGGGGTCATGACTGACTGAGCCAACCAAGCGTCTCCACAATTATGTTTCTGATCAGCTCCATATTGTACTCCCAGGAGAGACACGGTCTGGACATACAAGTCCAACTACCTATTATTGGCAAAGTGAGGTTGGGACCATCTTCATGAGTAATTTTTGATAATGCTAAAGTAAAAGGAGCTAATATGCATCTTGATACCATTCAAGAAAAAATTGTTCATGACACTTAGAGAACCATAAAGCAGACTTTATTCAGGACCATGGGATAGATGTAGGGACCTCTGCAAAGGGGGTCTTGTAATGGGGGAAGAGATTGGGCTCAACTCCAAACACAACAAGGAACAGTGGAAATTTATAGCCAAGGAGTAGGGTGTGGGTGGGCAGGTCAGTGGATGGAAAATCACCAAGAGGAAACATCAGGGTTCGGGGGGGATTCTGACTAAACTGACCTAATAGGAGTCTTGCTGAAGGCAAGCCAAGGTGATCAGACATCACCTGGGAGTGGTGGGGTGAAGAACCCCATCAGATATCCAAGCTGACCAGATATCAAGGGTGGGTAATTCTGGCTAAACCGACTTAGCAGGATGCTTGCTAAAAGCGAACACAAGGATAAACATGGAAGCCCAAAAGTCAGGGTCTAGGTAAGAAGCAAGTCCAGAAGATCTGGCACAGAGTTCGGTCAAGGAGAGAATTTTTGTCAATACTCAAACCCAAAATTTGACACCAAGTGTCTGAGGCTGTCTTTATAACTAGAATTGTACTCCCTGGGTCCCCCTCTTTATGGCATTTGCTTATTAAGACGGCCATCCAAGGACAAAAAGAGACCTAATAGATACAATCCTTGGAGGAATAAAGCAGGCAAGGTCTAGCTAATGCTTTTTGATATTAATACTTAGATCAGTAAACTCAGTGCTTCAGGACAATTATGAAAACATGTAATATGATTGCAGTGGAAATGGGGGACACTTGGAATTGGACTGTTGGGACTAATTTAATGCTGGAGGAAAAACTCACCACAAAGGTCTCAGAGGTGCTCAGTGACAAAGCAGCTTAATGGTTAGCTACCAAGCAGCTCTGAAATATCACCGCTAGCTCAGCATGACAGACCTGCTATCATAATATATTATTGACTTGGACTGATGCCAACAACAGCCTACTGGTATTTGTCCTCGAGACTTAGAACACCTAGAGCCATGGACAGTACACCCTGCAAACTGAGTCTGTACTATTCCCAGGGTCCCTCACAAGAAGCCTTTGCTACTAAGATCATGGCCATCTTGATGTCTTGCATCAAGAAATATTGTTTAGGATGATAGAAAAATTACTGAAGGACCTAAATTATCACGTAAGTGTGAGTTTACTCATGCAATTGATGGAAACTCAGGACAAAGGTATTGGCCTTACGAGAAAAACTCTTAAAATGTTAGATTGTCAGGCTCTGGAGTTATGCTATTCCTTCCACTAAGATGGGGTAAGACTTTATGAGCAACTACAAAATAATACTCAAATAGTTAATCCCGTGAGAGGGTAAACAATAAAATCAACACACAGTTTGTAAAATTAATGTATGCTGAAGGAGAATTTTTGCACATTGCTTATCAACAGGACTTGAGACACACTTCTCCCCCACCCCACCCCACACCCTGCAAAATGGCAGCTTGGCATATAGAGGATTTTGAAGCTCAAGGAATTTGAGAAGTGGCAGGTTCAGGAAAGGCTTTCGGACCTTCCCCTAAAATAGGTCATGAAACTCTCATGTGAGAGGCACCCTCCTTATACCCAGAGGAAAGGAGCACCCTTATCTCTGAAGATGAAGGGAGGGGGAGAGGAACTGGAATGAACAGGCCTTGATTAGTTTCTCCTTCTACCATACTTTTCCACAACTTTCCACTCTTCATCAAACCTAGCATAAAAGCACTCAGGCATAACCACTTCCTCAGGTCTTCGTTTCCTTGTGAAGACTCTCATGCAGCATGAAACTTACATTAAATAAATTTGTATGCTTTTCTCTTATTAATCTGTCTTTTGCTATAGGGGCCCTAGGTAAGAATTTAGAAGAGTATGTTTTTTTTTTTTTTAAAAAAAAGTCAACTGAGTAAATGTTTCAGATCTTATTGGCTCTATTCAATGACTCATAAATTGAGCAGCATCCAATCTAGCAGACAGAAAGGAGCTCCAAGGAGCCGTATGAAACGCAAGACTTTTATAGGCAGAAGGGAAGAGGAACAAGGAAGTTATACTAGGCAGAAAAGCAGGTTGCTTATTGCAAGGTCATTTTCCTTTAGGGGATTGCTAAGGGTCTATCAGGCAGATGGCCTAACTAGTTACTGATCAAGTAATTCCTGAATGGTTTAAGGTTCAATTTCTAGAAGAGCTGAAATTCTAATTAAGTCTGTTTGGTAACATGGGCTTAGCATAAGCAACTCCATTTTGCACCTGTTGTCTTATTTTTAATGTTTTTTTGTTGTTGTTACTGTTTTTGTTTTTAGAGAGAGGGAGAGGGAGCATGTGCGAGCAGGGCAGGGGGAAGGGCAGGCAGAGGGAGAGAGAGAGAATCTTAAGCAGACTCCACACTTACAGTGGAGCCCAATGTGGGGCTCCATCTCACGACCCTGAGATCATGACGTAAGCCAAAATCAAGAGTCAGATGCTTAACCAACTGAGCCACCCAGGTGCCCCTGTTGTCTTGTTTTTAACAAGTAAAAAGGAAAAGATATTTTTTCCTCCCTTACATAATCAAGAATTTGCTTTAAATAAATATGTCTATTGATGGTATACACATCTGAAAGCTTTTCCGCAAGTCCATATCATACTAAATTTTCTAATTCATCCCAGTGTGATTCTGATAATTACTTGGCTTTGCATTTTACCACAGAATCGCTGAATATTTCAATGACTGCAAAATGCCGAGAGAAAGGTAGAAACAGCAATGGAGATCATTAGAAGTTATAGTGTTACATTAAAATAGTGACAGAAGGGGAAAATTGCAAGGGTAAATTAAAATAAGATTGAATTTCCTGGATGATGCGCGGCCGGCGCTTCCGCGTTGGGAGCCGGCGGCGGATCCCGGGACGCCGAGACCCGGGGTCCCGGCAGCGGGGCGGCCCCCGGGCCCAGGGCGGGGATGCATCGCCGCGGGGTGAGAGCCGGCGCCATCACCAAGAAGAAGCTAGCCGAGGCCAAGTATAAGGAGCGAGGCACTGTCTTGGCTGAGGACCAGCTGGCCCAGATGTCGAAGCAGTTGGACATGTTCAAGAGCAACCTGGAGGAATTTGCCAGCAAGCACAAGCAGGAGATCCGGAAGAATCCCGAGTTCCGGGTGCAGTTCCAGGACATGTGTGCCACCATTGGGGTGGACCCTCTGGCCTCTGGAAAAGGATTTTGGTCTGAGATGCTAGGTGTGGGGGATTTCTATTACGAGCTGGGTGTCCAGATTATTGAAGTATGCCTGGCCCTGAAGCACCAGAATGGAGGTCTGATAACTCTGGAGGAACTGCATCAACAGGTGTTAAGAGGAAGGGGCAAGTTCGCGCAAGACGTCAGCCAAGACGACCTGATCAGGGCCATCAAGAAACTGAAGGCGCTGGGCACGGGCTTCGGCATCATCCCTGTGGGCGGCACCTACCTCATTCAGTCTGTTCCGGCTGAGCTCAACATGGATCACACGGTGGTGCTGCAGCTGGCCGAGAAAAATGGCTACGTGACCGTCAGTGATATCAAAGCCAGTCTTAAATGGGAGACCGAGCGAGCGCGGCAAGTGCTGGAACACCTGCTGAAGGAAGGGCTGGCCTGGCTGGACCTGCAGGCCCCACGGGAGGCCCACTACTGGCTGCCGGCTCTCTTCACGGACCTCTACTCCCAGGAGATTACAGCCGAGGAGGCCAGAGAAGCCCTCCCCTGACTCCGCGAGTGCGGAAGGGGCCCCCGCGGCAGGCAGGGAGAGGGCGGAGCTGCTGGCGAATAAAACCTGAATCACTTTTTTCTTTTTTGAAAAAAAAAAAAAAAAAAGATTGAATTTCCTTTCCAAAAGGAAAGAGATCTTTTCTCCCCCATCTTTTCTTGGAACTTCCCTTGAGAAAACTTGTATTTGTAAAGAATTCCTCTGTCCTAACTGTGAGAGACGATGGACTCTGAAAAACAAACTGAGGGTTCTAGAGGGGAGGGGGGTGGGAGGATGGGTTAGCCTGGTGATGGGTATTAAAGAGGGCACGTTCTGCATGGAGCACTGGGTGTTATATACAAACAATGAATCATGGAACACTACATCAAAAACTAATGATGTAATGTATGGTGATTAACATAACAATAAAAATTAAAAAAAAAAAAGAATTCCTTTGTCCTTTTGGTATGCACGCAAATTTTATTAAAGGTTAAATAAGCCTCTTACCAGAATTAAAACCCAGGAAGATTTTTCAGCAGGGCCTGGGAGCCATATCTTTTCAATGTCAACATCAAGGAAGACGCGCCCCATCTCCCTGTTATCGTGGGAATCCAGCTGAGGCATCTCAACTACCTGCTCATCATAGAGGTACAAGAATTTTCATTTTTCCTTCAGAAAGAGGTCATTAACTAGCACAGACGGCCACCCCAGTGACCACAGAGTGATCATTCAACCCAGTGAATGCAGAGTGAATTTGAAAGCACGTATAGCGAGTGGGACTGTTGAGTCCTCTTGCCTGACAAGTGTTCATACCTGAGAATATGCACATAGGGTCATATCTGTGTGTCTACATACAAGTAGTGGGATTTCTTTTCTGTCTTAATAATTTTATGTCTTAACTAGCAGATGACCTGTGACACAGCCCGGTCTGAGTTAATGCTTACTCAGTAATAGAACTATTCCTTTTCGACATTATTAGTAGGGAGGGTTTTCTGGGTGGGCAGATTTTATTTTTCAAGATGTTTTCCTTGGGACACCTGGGTGGCTCAGTCGGTTAAGCAGCTGCCTTTGGCTCAGGTCATGAACCCAGAGTCCTGGGATCGAGTCCTGCATCGGGCTCTCTGCTCGGCGGGGAGTCTGCTTCTCCCTCTCACTCTCCCTCTGTGCTCTCTCTCTCTCTTTCTCAAATAAATAAATAAAATCTTAAAAAAAAAATTGTTTTCCTCAACAGGGCAAGAATCTGCCTTCCATGTTACTGTAGGAGACAGTTTTACCAAATGTTTTATCATGACATAAAATGGATCCAGCAGTGTGTTTCCTCACTGCCCACCACCCAGCCAGGTTTTCACCCCATTTCAAGGAGCACATTTTCACGTTAGTTAGGGTTAGGATAGGCTATGATGCAGTAATAAATAAACCTATATATCTCATCCACTTAATGCAAGTGAAGTTTCCTCCTTGCTCAGGGCATGGTTTAGTGAATGAATGGTTTAAGGGGAGCTAGTGGGCTCCTGTTCCATGCAGTCAAGACACCGCTACAACAAAATACCACAGACTGGGTAGCTTACAAACAACAAATATTTATTTCTCACAGTTCTGGAGGTTCAGAAGTTCAACATCATGATGCCAGCAGATTTGGTGTGGCGGCTGGTGAGAGCCTACTTCCTGGTTCATAGATGGCTGTGCACTCACCTGGTGCCAAGGCACTAGAGATCTCTCTGGGATTCTTCTCTAAGGGCACTAATCCCATTTATGAGGGTGCCACCCTCATGACCGGATCACCTCCCAAACGTCCCTCCTCCTAATACCATCACTTGGTGGATTAGGATTTCAGCATATGAATAGGGTTGGGGGTGGGGTTCAGTCCAGAGCAGGACTTAAGGAGGCAGACTCTTTCGTGTGGTGGTTCTGCCATCTCCAACATGAGGGCTGGCCTCAGAAGCAGGAACCACAAGCCAAATCCCCAGATCTCTAACCCAGAAACTTGTTACCTGAGAATCTTGCAGTTGGTGACCTTCAACAGGTCATAGAAGAGAAATCAGTCAGGCTTCAGCATCCCTCTGAGACCTTGAGCACAGAGTCATGTGAGCTCTTGTGAATTCCAGAACTGATGCTGGAAACCCAGAAGCCCCCTAATTGGGTTTGGGACCCAGCGGCCTGGTCATGGAGTCTGGAGAGACTTGTGGGGTGAGGGCTCACCTAAGCCAGGAACCTGACATCAGAAACCTTGGGTTCAAGTCTTGGCTTACGTCTGACTAGCCATGTCTCTGAGCTTCCGTAGAAATGGGTACCCTACGGGCTGCATGAGATGGTTTCAAGACTTAAGGAAGGTGATGTTTGGGAAGATGCTTTGAAACTAAAAGGCACAAGACAAATAACTACTTAATATGACTCATCTGGCTTTTGCGGAGCCCCTCCCCTGCATGGCCGACAGCTCACTTCCATTCAAAGATCAGGGTGAAGTAGCCCACAGCAGCTCCTTCAAGAGCTGTTAGGTGGGATTCTAGCTAGACAAAACCCTCCTTCAGGGACTCTTTGGAACCCCCCCAAAGTTCTAAGGCTGACAGCCCCAAAGTCTGGGAGGTTTTGTAGCTCATGGGTCCACCACATGATGATGGAAGGGCCCAAAAGATGCTTCCAGGAAGCCATTCTTGGCAAACACCGGACAAAATCTGGACCCTACCCCCACCTCTGGCCCAGTCTCCAAACATTAGAGTCACCCTCAGCCCTCTGTCTTCACCCCACCAGTCCCCAACCCGGGCTTTGGGATTTCTCTGCGTCATTATTTTGTCCCCGGCTTGCTAACTGAAGCTTCTACTGTTGGGCCATGTGTCCCAGACCACGTCCTTCTGCCTCAGTCCCCCCAGCACTGTTGCCCAGAGCTGAATGGGAAGAGGGAAGAAATCACCAAAGAGGAGCATCTTGATTTCAGCATATCTGACTTTAAAAAATCTCTCTTCTGACATCTGTGGGGGAACCCCAGCTGGGGAGCGTTAGCTGAGACTTCCCCTCTCTGTAAAAGGCAGGCTTTGGACACAGTGGCCCCTGATCTAACTCTGCGATGGGGAGATGAGGCGGAGAGGAGAAGCAGCAGGTGAACGCAGGCTGGCTGACCCCCACGGAGGTGGGCCTGGGTCCTCCTTCCTCCGAGGCTTTAGCAAGGACTCCCCAGCTCTGCCTCCCCTCTCTCCTTCTGCCAGGACAGATGCCAGGTGACAATCTGCTCGCAGGGTCATCAGAGGCAGGAGAGACTAGGGGAGCAGGACCCCAAGTCCTACTGGAAGGTGGCTGTGCCCTTAGCCTTTGGCCTGAGCCCTCCTGCAACCCCCATGTGGGACCTCGGACACTCAGCTCCCAGATCTCTTGAATTTCAGCCTCCCTCTCCCTGTCCACAGGTCCCCACGATGGAGTGCCTTCGTTCACCTCCCCCCACCCCTCTGCCCCAAAGCCCTCTGGGGGCTGAATTCAAGTCCTGTTTAAAAAATTTACTGGGAAGCTGAGGCTCAAGCACACATATTTTATTTTTTTAATATAACGAGCCCACGAGTACTTTACAGGGTAAATAGCCTAAGAAGTCTTCCAGCAGGACTTCCTTGTCCCGTGGCAGGGCGCTGGGACCTCTGGGTTCCCGTGGAGGGCTGCACCCAGGTCTCCTGCAGACACGGGTTCGGGAAAGAGGGCGTGCTCGTGTCCGGTGTGAAAAGTGTTCCCTTTGCTGTCCCTTGCAGGGCTTCCATAGACTTAGGAGTGCTGCCTGGTTTAGCTCCAAATGCAATTACTGGTGTTTTTCTTTGGCATCTAACCCATCGTGGGGACAGCATTCCAGAAAGAACTTGGGCACTCTGCTGTCCGAGCAGGCTCGACAAAGGGCACCACCATGAAGGAACAGCTGCAGGGACCCCCATTCAAAGTGCCCATGTGGCCTCCCTGGGGCTGCAGAGGGCGGGGGGGGGGGACCACGATTATCATCCTGGGGCAGCCTGGGGAAGAGTGGTCAAAGCAAATGGCTCCACTCCGGGGTTCAGGCCACTGTCCACCATACCTGGACTCTTTGGTTTTGCCCGGTGGCCCCTCCTTCTCTCTCCCCGCCCCCAGCCCCTCCTTTGTGCTCCCTGCCCCTGAGCACCAAGGTCACTCAACCTGGGACTTCTCCTCCCATCTGTGAAGGGATGGATCCTCTCTACCCAAGGGAGACTTCCAGAATGGTGCCTGCTCAGCCTTCCTACAATCCGGGTTCATCAGGGGAAAGAAGCCAGGGTGGGGAGGGTCAGCCTCACTCTTGGTGGGAGACACTGGGGCCAAGTGGGCCTGGGAACCATGGCAGGTCAGTAACGGTCCGCCACCCGAAACAGGCCCTATACTCTATTCGCTGCCCCCGGACACGGCTTCCTGGCCCCCGACGGCCTCTCTGGAGGATCCTGGAGCCACCTCGATTGTCCAGCTCAGTCAGCCACCCAGACACTGGGCATTCCACCACGGCAGCGCGGCACACCGGGGTGGGGGGCGGGGGGAGCCCTCGGCACCACCCCCAACCCCTCCCCTCCCGCACCTCCTTCCCTCCCACCTGGCATCTCTTACCCCCTTTGGTCACTCTTCCTGCAGCAGGGGCTCTCGGTCCCCTTCCTGCACCCTGTCGTCCTCCTCCTTCTCCATGCAGCCCACGGTGGCGGCCAAGCCGGCGCCCACGCCGCCCCCGACCACCGCAGCCCCCGTGGCCCCCACCGCAGCGCCAGCCGCCACCATCCCGGCCTCCGCAGCCAGCGCGGCCGCGGCCATGCCCGCGCCCACCACGCCGCCCGCCAGGCCCATGAGCCCGGCCCCGACGGCGCCCCCCACGGCGGCCAGGTGGCCACAGAAGCGCATGGTGTACGAGTCCATGAAGACCTTGGCCTCGGCCTGCAGCTCGGCCTCCAGGGCCTCCAGGGTCTGCTCTCTGCCCTTGCACAGCAGGGCCGCCCCGTGGCGGGCCAGGACGGCGTCCTTCTGGGCGCACAGGAGGTTGCGCATGGTGTCGGGCAGCACCCGCAGCGCCGAGAAGATGCGCTTGGTGGCCGCGTCCTGCGGCGGGGAGAAAGGGAGGCGCGCTGACCGCCCGCCCGGGAGCCCGAGGCCTGGGGCTCCCGCGCGGGGCCGCGGCTCACCTGCTGCCGCACGTACTCCTCGAACTCCTTCTTGGCAGCTTCCACCGTCCTCAGGTCGTGCAGCTGGGCGGCCATCTGTCCACGGCAAAGCCAGGCTGCCTCCCTCCTCCCGCTCCCGCCCTCGGCTGCATCCCAGGGCCCACGCGCCCGGCCCCCCAGACCCTCCGGAGGGTTGCGGGGGGACGTACCTCGTCCGCGGAGGCGAACCCGGGCCCGGTCCTCCCCATCCAGCCCGAGAGGTTCTGCGGAGACATGAGGGGAGGGGTCAGGGCGGGCAGGGGGGCGGGGGGCTCTCCGGGGCCTGGGGGCGGGCGGGAGGGGGGGCGCACCTTGATTTCCTGAGCTAACTGCTGCCCCGTGAGCAGGCGTCTGTCCCCCCTGGCCACGGGGCGGCCCTCGCTCCAGTACCCCGGGCAGCGGCTCTTGGCGTGCTGGGGGGCTGCGCTCAGCACGTCCGCCACGTAGGCACAGAGGTGGCCGAAATCGTCATCTGTGTCTGAGGAAGAGATTCCTCATGCTGAGGAGACCGGGGGCTGAGCAGGGCCGGGCTTTGGGAGGAGAAAGGGTGTCAGAGGCAGGGAGAAGCTCGCTGGGGCCAGGGGGTGGCGGGAGGAGGGCAAGCTGGGGAGGCCTTGTCCCCGGGGTCGCTCACCGCAGGGGCTTCCGTGGCCTTTGCTTGCCCACCGACGCCCCGGGGTGGGCAGGAGGTAACAGCGGGCTCTCCTTCCTTGGAGCAGCTCCTGAACCTTGGGGTATTTGCCGGAGGATTTCTGAGAGACGGATGGGGAGACCTCTGAGCTAAGGACCAGGCTCCTGTTCTTGGCTCCACTGCAGGCCCCCTCGGGCCTCCCCTCCCCTTCTGCCCAGTTCCTCCCGAACCCCCTTGCATCCCCTCCTTCGGCACCCCTCACCTGGATGATGTCACCCACGCGGCCCAGCCCTGCCTTGTTGGAGTAGGATGAGTCACGAACTAAGAGATCTAGGTGCTGGAAGAGAAGGGGTCCTGACACCAGCAGCCTGGGGGTGTTAGGGTCTGGGGTGATGGGTCCAGAAATGGGTGTCTCACCTGGATTGGCACCATCCCATAATGCCTGCCCATCACCTCGGCCACGTGGACAAACATCTGGGGGTGAGGCACCAGGGGTCATGGCTGGGTTACCCCAAGGACTGTGGCTTCCTCCCCTCTGGGCCCACTGGAGGACCCCCCACCCTCGCCCCCATACTCTCCCCATCCCCCACACTCCCAGCTCTGGGATTCTCCTGCCTCTCCCAACCCGGCATCTCGTGCTCCACCCTCTGCCCTCAAACCCACCAGCCCAGCTCCAGGTCATGAACTCCTAGGCCAGAACGGCTGGTCCAGTCCCCTGGACTTATGGCCAGGGCAGGAATAGGGTGGCACCCCAGGACCAAATTTTCTCCTCACCTCCAGATATTCCAGGTCTGTATCCTTCAGCTCCGGGGAGGTGTTGAGGATCTGGAACCAAGGAGAACAAGATGGAAGAGGGTCTGCAAAGGCAAAGAGATACTGGGAAGACCCCGGTGAGGAAGGAGCTCGCAGGCCGACAGTGGGGCCAGGACCCGGGAGACACCTGCCTGGGGGCCTCCGCAGCCTGCAGGGCCTGGGCTGGCCGTGAGGGACCGAAGGCAGGCCCGAGAATGGTCCTGCGGGCCTTCAGCGGCTCCCGGGGACCTTTGACTTCCCTTTTGAACAAACCATGTTCCCACCTTCACCGACTGCAGGCATCCCTCCCTTGCAGGGGCATCCCCAGAACCTGTGGGGGGACCCCAGACACAGGCGTCTGTGAGATCAGGGTAAGCATCCCGAGCACTCCCAGGGCCAGCCCCGGGCTGAGATGTCCCCGTCCTGGAGAAAGCTGAGCGGGAGCTGGGCCGATGGGGCGGGGCACCGGATCACAGCGCCCTCACCTGGTAGGAGCTCAGCATCGTGGTGAGGGCACAGAGCTTGGTCCTGGTTTCTCTGCTCAGCTCGGGGCTCATGGCGTCCCCTGTGTCCACCAGGAACACGGCCACCTGTGCAGGGGGCGGGGGAGGCGGGGAGATGAACCGAGGGGTCAGGCCTGCCTCACTCCGCCACGTGCTCCCCCAACCCTCCCTCGTCCACCGCATCTTCCTGTACCTGCCCCCAAAGCTTGCTTTCTCCATTCCCCTCCCCTTTGTCTACGATCTCCCCGTCCCCCCAAACCTCTTCACCCTCTCCTCCCCCGGCCCGCAATCTTCACCTCCTGTGCCCTTCATGCCCCTCACCTTCCTCCCCTCCTTCCCCAGCAGGAAAGGGTGGCTCCACATCCATATGCCCCTGGTAAGGCTGTTGGCACCCCACCTGAACCCCTGCAGGGACCCTCCTCCTCTCGGCCAGCCGCCCCCCCCTGACTCCTGCAAGGCAGAAAAAGAGAGCATCCGTTGGTCCATCCAGCCCCCATTCCCCTCCCAATTCCAGGCTGGGACCCCTAAACTGCCCCCCTGCCCCAGCCCTTCCCTCACCAGGCTTGGCAGGCCCCGGAGCAGGTGGTTGAGGAGGAAGGTCTTCCCTGAGTGCTGCTCCCCCAGGACAGCCAGGAGGCAGACAGGGGTGTCCCTGGCCAGGGGGTGCTTCAGACAGCGGTTGATGGCCCCCATCCTCAGGATCAGGCCTCCAGAGGTGTTGATTCGCACCAGCAGCAGTGGCTCAGCCCTCACAGCACATGTCTGCGTCGGGAGAAGGAAGGTTCCCTGAGCCACCAAGGGCGGCGCGCGTCCGACCCCAGACTCCGTTCCGCACCCCGACATCCCAGAATAGAGCCAGAGCTGCCGGGCCCCTCAGGGATCGGACCCAGGTCCCTCCAGCTCCCCCCGCCCCAGCAGCCCCAGCGCGAGGCCTGGGCCCCGGACCTGCAGCACGGCAGGCAGAGGCCTCTGCGGCAGGAGCTTCATCTTCTCCCCCAGGCTCCGGAGGCCCTTCTTCTGCTTGCAGATCTTCCGGCACTCGGGGCAGCAGGCTGGCTGGCAGCCGGGGACACGGTGCGTGCTGAAGCACCGCGTGCAGAAGTCATGGCCGCAGTCCAGCGAGATGGGCTCCCGCAGCCTCTCCAGGCAGATGGAGCAGGCAGGAAGCTCCCGGGGCGCCGCAGGCCGGGACCCCAGGCCCAGCTCTAACTTGGGGAATGGCGTGTGGGACCTGGGGTGGAGGGGGTGGGGGGCGGCAGAGCAGGCTGTTGGGAGCAGCATGGGGGGGCGTGCAGGGAGTACGGCGGGCTGGGAGTTTGGCGGGCAGGGTGCTCCCAGAGAGGCCAGCTCACTGACTTGCACCCCAGTGCCGGGGATGGCAGAGCTGTGGGGACAGTGCTCCGGGCAGGGAGGCGCCCGGGTGAAGTCCTAACCCTGCCCCATCGCCACCCCGGGCAGCCACGGGCAGGCTCCTGCACGGACTGATCTGGGCCCCCCGTTTCCTAACCAGCCAAGAGGAGAGCTTAGCAGCCCTGGGCTCATGGGGCCATTAGGGCACCCTGCCCAGTGCCTGGCACAAACCTTCTGGAAACCTCTCTCCCACAGCCTTCCACTGCAAGGGCTCCCACTGGGAGTTACCGGCTTCGGCCGGACCTCCCCCCCCCCCCCCCCCCGCCGACAGGAGTGACACCTGCATACACCGTGGGGCCACAAGGAGAGGGTGGGAGCCTCCCGGTGGTGGGCCAGATGGCTCTGGTTCTTAGAAGATGCCTTCCGCGCTCCCTCTCGGAGCTGGATTCGGTCTCCAAGCAGTACCCACCGGATTCTCCCTGTCCCTCCCTCCACAGCAGATCCAGCTTCGGGCCCTCCCCTGGGACAGCCCACAGGATGCCGGGGGCCACAGGGCCCGGGTTCCTGGACCCACAGAGAGCGAGCAGGCCTTGAAGCAGTCCTGCTGGCAGGCCCTGCCACTTACCAACTGTTGCGACTGCTTCCCACGAAGCTCCGTTTTCTCTCCTTGGAGACAAAAATGGGGGGCAGGGGGTGGGAATAAAACGTTATCTAGAAGAGAATCCAGGTTTCTGTCTTCCTCCTGGGTCTCAGTGGCCTCCATCCCCCTTCTGCAGACCCATCCCTC